AAGATTGATAAATAGAAATTTTCCATGGTGAGCCGCAGAGAGAAAAAAATGAACAAAGTCTCTGGGACATGTGGGACAACAACAAAAGGTTGAATGTTTGTGTCATCAGAATCCCAGGAGGAGACAAGAAAGCATGTGATGCTGGAAAAGTATTTGAAGAAATAATGATTGAAAACTTCCCAGGTTTGGCGAAAGATACAAACTTACAGATTCAAGAAGCTGAACAAATCCCAAACAAGTTAAACTGAAAGAAATCCACACCCAGAAACAATATAAACAAACTACTGAAAGCTGAAGACAGAGAAAATACCTTGAAAACAGCCAGAGAACCGTATAAAGGAAAAGGATAGAGAGCAATGGAGGAGCTTTTTAAAAGAATGGTCAGGGCAGTCTCTGAGCAGGATATGTTAGAACTGAATGAGCTGAAAGGTCTAGTCATGCTTTTTGGAGCAAGAGGGAGCCAGACAAAGGGAACAGCAGGTGCAAAAGCCCTGAGGCAGGAGCGAGTTTAGTGTTTCCATGGAATAGCAAGGAAGACAGTAAGGCTGTAGTGTAATGAGTGAATGAAGGGGTGGTGGTGAAAGACGAGGTCAGAGAGGTGGGACTGATAATGACCATATGTCTAGGGGGAGGTCTGTCACGAGGGCTTTCTATAAAGTGGAGAACCCTGGCAGGTACTTCCTCACCTGGGGCCCCCTGCCCCTGTTCTCTGGGAGGACACATCTTAGAGCAGGAGACAAATAAAACAGGTAATTTTAATAAATCCTTTCAGAACCCAGAGCCCAGGGGAAATTAGTGAGGCAACAATTTTTCCTCTTTTTGGCTTGACCTCTGCTTTATGTATCTTCAAAACTCACAATCATTTGAAGTTGTTGAAAAAAAAAACCAAACAACTGAAGGTACCTGGAAGTCTAAGTAAGCGGTCAAGATTCTTTTCCCTTGGCTCGTCAACCTGAGACAAGAAAGGGGGATGGTGTTTCTGTGTTGTTTGTTAAAAGAATGAACATAGGATATCCTTCTCCCATCTTCCCTCTCCCTTATCTGTGATTGGCTGCATCTGAGAACAAAGATGCCATCTGGAGGTTGGGGCGCACTGGGTAAAGATTTTCTCACTTTACAGGAGAAATATGTTACAGGCAGATTTTGGTAAAGGGAATCTTGGGGAAGTGACTCCTGTCCACTCAGTGGCTGCTGGCCTTTTTGAAACTTGAGTGGCCGCCGGTCAGGACAGGCCAGGTCGGGCCTCTTAAACCAGAGGTCTAGAGGTGTGAGCGAGTGCAGGAGCCAGCAGGGAAGCCTCCTACGTCTCGGCCTGGCAAGGAGCTAATTCCAGAGAGGTCTTACAGGTTCTGCCACTCATTCAGTGTGTGATCTTGAGTGGGTTTGTCGTGTATAAAATGGGGGTCGGGGCAGGGGAGGGTGCGCGTTGAGCTAGGATGATAGCCGTTGGCCTTTGCCACGTGTAAGTTCCAATGGATCGAGCAAAAGGAGCCCTTCAGCGGGCTTAATGAGCAGAGCTGGGGTGCAAACGGCAGAAACAGCTGCAGGAGGAGGTGGCCTGGGGTGCAGGCCCGGCAAACTGAAGGGATTCAAGAGAAGCAGCTGGCAAAGGAGGGGGGGATGGAGAGGGGCCCTTGAGGGGAGACAGGAGTGAGTGGGGAGGGGCGGGAGGGGAGCATCGTGGCATCTGAGGGGCTGCCGGCTCTTCTGCGACGCTTGCTCGGCTCGGCTGCAGAAGCCTGATGTGATCCCCCAGGAAGGGCTGAGGAAGAGCTGGGTTCTATGTTCTGGCTCCGAGGTCCCTGTGTCAGCAAGTGGCACAGAGACGAGCGCAGCGCACAGCAGTTAGAAGGGGACCGACCTGAATCCAGCGGTGACACCAAGAGGGACAGGGGACAGATGTTCAGGTTCCCCACCCCCACTCACTGTGCTCTGTCAAGTCCCCTCAACGCCCCCCGCAAATTACCACCCACGCTAATTCAGTCTAATTCAGACTCGCGCAAACACCGCTTACAAATGAGTCTCCGAGCCTGTTCTCTGCCAGACGGGGGCTCTAGGTGACCCCATGAGAAGTTCAGAACCAACCGCTTCAACCCTGGAGTCGCCATGTTGTGCGTGGCAAGTCACTTGGCCTCTCTGAGCTCCAGCTTCCTCTTTGAAGGGTAGGGTCATCGTTGCTGGCAGGATTGGGACAGTGTCCTGCGATGGTGCCCACGAGGCCCCTTGTACAGAGTCCTGCACCCAGAGGAGCGAGAAAACATTCTTTTCCTTTCTGTCTCCTGTATTAGGAAGAACTGCGAAAGACTTTGAAGAGCAAAGGGGATTCGTGGGTGTCCTTTCAGTGGGACTCTGGGCATTGATCCGATGCTGTTGAGGTCTGTGTTTCTGATGGGGCTACTTTGAAAGCCATAGGAAACCACAGTCATGCAAATAATTCTTGTCTATAGAAACGTAAGTGAATATTGTCCCCTAAAAATATAGGGAATTTCTGTCCCGGATAACAGATTATTCCAAACATTACATTCTACTGGCCTAAGGGTACGAACCAGCTTGGTATCGCTCAGGAAATTCATTTCAGCATTCTTGATGCCTCCATGTGTCTGTCCTACAGATTCTTCTTTGAAATGATATGACCTCTCAGTGGTCTCTTTATTAATGAGTTAAATGGCATCTTTGTTTTTTTTTTTATTTACTTTTTTATTTATTTTTTGTTTTTCAATATATGAAATTTATTGTCAAATTGGTTTCCATACAACACTCAGTGCTCATCCCAAAAGGTGCCCTCTTCAATGACATCTTTGACATGTGTTCGTTTATATTCGTATGGCTCATGTCTGTATCTTTGAAAATATTTTACCATCTACTTCCCTGAGGATTTATAAATCACTAGGTCAGATCAGACCTTTGTCACCCATTCCCCGCTGCTGATTTAATATTCAATTCCAAATCCTTCCCCATCCCCCACCCCAACACACACGCACACACACACACACCCATCCCCATCTATACCCAAGATCTCTCACACACCCAGAAAAAAACTTGTTTTGCGAGGTGTGTGTGCTCTGTGCTAAAGATGTACGCACCTGGGTGTTTAGCCAGGGCTGGGACCCCTGAGATCTGAAGCAGTCTTTGAGACCAAATTGTAGGGACTGAATGAGGTAATGGCTCACAAGGGGACAATATAATGTGTTGTCCGTTCAGAGTCTAAGTTTTACACTGAATTCTGACTTCAAGTTAAAGAATGCAAGGACCGGGGGCATCTGGGTGGCTCAGTCGGTTAAGCATCCAACAGTAGTTTTCGGCTCAGGTCACGATCTCATGGTTCGTGGGTTCAAGCCCCATGTCGGGCTCTGTGCTGACAGCTTGGAGCAGCTCGGAGCCTGGAGCCTGCTTCCGATTCTGTGTCTTCCTCTCTCTGCCCCTCCCCCACATGAGCTCTCTTCCTCTCTCTCTCTCAAAATAATAAATAAACACTAAAAAAAGAAAAAAAAAGAATGCAAGGACCCAGTCTTCCTCTGAGGACTTTCCTGGTGGCCTTCTGGTGTCAAGAAAGATGGCACTGAGGGCCTGGGGAGGACCCCGGGCTGAGTGCGGCCCGTCCAGGACCAGGTATAGATGTGCCAACGTTCTTCCTAACGTCTGTTCCCTTTGGGGCTGCATGTCCTGCTGCATCAGGCCACCTGGGGCCTTTCCTGGATTGGAACCCGAGGTTTCTGGAGGCCTCGGCCAGGAGGCATGGAAAGGCTGCACTGTGGGTGGCTGGTGTCTGTCTCTGGGTGTCCTCTTGAAAGAGTTTCTCTCACAGACCCCTGCAGAGACTCACCGGCGGGATCGGTCCAAGAAAGGAGAGCTTCTGTGCTGGAGAGCTACCAGGATCACCCGGCCGGCCCTGAAATATGTCTCTGGAATATGGGGAGACCCAAAGGAGTGTAATCACAGGCTCCCCTGTAGACCACGCAGCCCCAAGTGTGGTCGGGACCCACAGCACTGGTACCACCCGGGAGCTTGCTCAGGCCCGAGGCCAGACTTGCCGCATCAGAAGGTGCAGGCTACCAGACTTCCCTGGTGATTCGTGTGCACTCCAGAGTCTGGAAGGGCTGGGGTGCTGGGGGTCACACTCCCTAGGAGCGATCGTCTGTGAATCTCATTGGCTGGGGAACTGTGGGCCCGTCCCTTCCACCTCTCAGAGCGGTTTCCTCGTCTCTAAAAGAAGGACAATAACCTCTGTGCCACAGGGCCGTGGAGGGGTCAAAGGTTTGTGAAAGCACTGACAGCATTGCTCCATAATTTGGTTAAAGGCCAAGAGAACCCAAAGAAACCCTGGTGTGGGATGGGGTTGATGCCTCCGGAGGGGACGGGAAGATGGTGAGGCTCCACCTTGGGACGGATCCCGAGCTGCCTTTCCGGTCTTTACCCAGGCGAATGAGTGTTCACCACAAGCAGGACACGTTCTCTTTCTGCAGTGGAGCCCAGCTGGAGCCCCAGGCCCAGGGTGGCCAGGGCTGGGCCACGGAGCTGACCCAGGGGGCCCTTCCACTGGCCGTTCCGCCTGCAGCCGGGGAGTCCGCCCCATGCCCGCCCTGATTTCCCAAGCCCTCTCTGGGACCATCTACCGCAGGGATTTGTCCTCGGGCGCCGTGTACCGGGCGGCCCTCCTTGAAGGTTCCGAGGATTAAATGGGGTCCTTTGCACTCAACAGACACAGGGAACTAGGGGGCAGGATGAAATCATTTTAATAGCATAGCAACACTTTAGGACCAGGTGTCACAGACGAGGAAAATGGTTTGTCTTCCGCTCGTACAATTCCGGTGAGGGGTGGGGTTGCAGTGAACAAGACTACGGACATAGTTTTCACGTTGAAAACTTAATAAATAGGTACTTAAAACGTCAAACTTCAGAGACGATGGGTCGTGAGTGTCATTGTTTTCGTATTCTGCCTCCTCTGAGCCAGGAGGTGGCTTCCTGGCTGCTGACAAAGGTGGGGGCCCTTAGGACGGGTACTAGTACTCCTCAGCACTGCGCCGGCCAAAATCCATCCAGCCCATGTAGTCCCGGTCGCTTATCCTGTGACTGGGGTCCAGGCTCTGCAGGTTCTTAATGACGGACATTCGGCCAGAAGGAGCTACAAAGGGCAGGGGAAGAGGAAACAGGGCCATTATATCTAGGAGCATCACCAATTCAATCTGAGAGGAGCACAGTGGGAAAAGCCAGACAATTTGTAACACGCACTTTCTTAAAGGTATCAAAGAGTTACCAAGCAGTGGGACCGCTGACCCCAAATCTCAGAGAAGACAAGGACCCAGGTCTGTGTAATCAGGGAGGGTAATATTTGCTAGCTATGGTTGTGGTTTCTAATCTGTAAGGATTTCAGTGGATTCACTGACCGTGGCCTTTCACAGCCGGGACCTGCCTGGTCTTTCTACCCCTGAAGGGTGTTTTCTCTTACGTAGCTGGCCCTCAGCAGACGTCAAGCAAGGATTTTCTTGGTACTTACCCATTTCTGAAGTTCACTCCTTAATATCCCGAGCACACTTGACTCTTGTTAAGGTAACACAATTACAGTATTTTGATGTTAGAATGGTTAAAAAAAATGGAGTCAAGTCCTACCACTAGACAAATACCATTTAAAAATTAATTTTAAAGCTACCTTCTTTTTAAAAAAATGATATTGAGAGAAAGGCACACTGTCAGATTATAAAATCTTACGTCAGTGACTGACAGAAGAGTGGGCAGAAAGGCAATAAGGAAGTTATTTAATTCAGCCCTTTTGATCCAAATGCAGTAACTGAATGAGAAATGGGCCTTTTGGAACTGGAGTTAAGTCCTCGGGAACAGGATGACTCTCACGTATAATCCACATTGAGGGAGAAGGGACACGAAGGAGCAGTCTCTTTGGAGACCTGACATAGTCCTAGGCCAAGGGCCACAGACAGAGGCCTCCCGGGTATGAAATCAGTAGAAGGCCTTCTTCTGTGCAAGCCAAGAGGCAAGTAAGTCCCTCAGGGACCTCGAAGGGCCAAGCCCAGGGGACTTTAAGAGCACAGTGATGGAAGACCACCCCATACTTCCTATTGGATCAGGGCACTGCGTCCCCACTGCTTGTGACGCTGGCATTCAGCCCTTCTGTGTGAGGCTGCCCCTGCCAACTCCCGCCCTCAGGCTGCAAAGAGTCAGACAGACCGTGGCTTCTTTAGTGACACATGACCTTGCAGAAGCAGTTCCTCTATCTCATTGGATAACCAAGTAAAGCCAGCTAAATTAAAAACCAGAAACAATTATACAGAGTCATGTCCCCACCCATTCTTTTCCGCCCCCCACCCCACCTCAATCCCTTCCCAGCCTTGGAATCTGAGAGTCAATCCAGCACATTCCAGCCCCTTGCAGATATCTCCAGCCTATGCACAAGGAAGAGAGCCCCAGCTATTGAATTGCTCAACATCTTTTAGGTGAAACATTAGTCCTCGCACTAAAAAAAATAAAAACAAAAAAACCCTGCAGTCGAGTTATCTGTACACAGTCATGGAAATACGGCCCATCTTCCTGCCTGCCGCGGATGAACACCCCCACCAAAGGCTGGCACGGCCCCAAGTTCCAGTTAATGAGGCGAAGTGGCAGCTTCCATGGGCACAAGCAGCCTGGGTTCTTGGTGGGGGCACCACGTTAAGCCCTGGTGGCTGTGCTCCCTACACACCTCAATTTCCCCATTCCACACACAGCTCTGCGCTCACAGCGTGTGCATCTACCGGGGTCCTCGCTCACTTCCCCAGTGCAGACGAGAGTAGGGACTTACAACTGGTTTATGGAACGGAAGTGAAGGACCGGTCTCCTTTAAACTTGAAAACCCCGAATGGGAAGCTGAATGGCTTCTGGACCCTCTGGGGAGGGCAGGGCCTGGACGGACTCTCAGATGTGCAGAGTCGGCCTAGATGTGCGGAGTCATGTGGCTTATGCATTCTTAGAGTCCTGGCTTCCACAGTGACGAAGAATAAGCAAGCTTACTGCACAGGGCTGCTGGGGGCTAACCGTACAGGTGTTACAGCTGTAGCATGAGAGCTTTGCTGGGCACGGGGCAGGTGTATGCCATATGTCCCTGTGCTCCCTCAATAGAATTGCTTCTCCTCAGTCACTGAAAGCTTTGCAGACGATCCCTAATGATCAACTCTTGAGCACTCCTCAAAGAGTGCATTATCGCGTTTAGGGTCTTTAAGCACAACAGTTGAGTAAATACCCAGCATGATAATCAAAATAGTAAAATAGTCAAAGAAACTGTCGAGGTGGAAATATTTATCCCCGGTTCATATTTGTCAAACAGACGAGTCTGATTGTTTCCTAGCCAGTGCTCATGGTGGGTGTCAGCAGCTAGGGGAGGCAGAGGCTGCCATTCCCACGTGGGTTTGGTTGGTGCCACAGGCTGAAGGCCAAGGGAGAAGGGGGCTGAGAAGAGGTGTCGGGAAGAAGCTTCCCACTAAGATTTGTAGCGTAAAGCCGCTGTCAATGTCAGTTCTGGGGGAGTGGTGTGGTAACTGGCTTCCTTCCCGGACCTGTTTCTGGTGGTTTTTTCCCTAAGGTGGGGAGGTGGCTCCAGATTATGGCTCCATGAAAAACCTACGCTATTTCAGACTGGTCTGGCTGAAGTTCAGCCTACCTCCAAGGACAGACATTAACTTATCGTGATGCAGACAATCAGCAAGAACTCAAAAAGTTTTCAGACTTCCTCTGTCATCTGACTAGTATTTCCACATCTCTCGATTCAATTAGCTGGAGAGAGAAACAGAAGACGGAAGCTGGGACAATTTCTCAAAGAGAGGACAAAATGTAACACATCATCTTCTGCTTTGTTTTGTTTTCTTTTGTTTTCCTTCTGAACTCCCCTGGTCAAAAAGCCCCAGTCTTACCTTCATACGAAACCATCAGAGACTCTGGAAAGCTGAGCCCGTCATTTCCTCCTTGTCTAGTCAAGCCACGAGCTAAGCTTCAAATCCAGGTCCCGGCACATGAGAGGGTAAGGGAGCCTCATGGGAAAGGACCCCCTCCCACCCCTCCCAGCAGCGTTTTTTGTGGTTTATTGTCCAGCCGTGTCGGTCCAGTTTAGCCTACTGCCTCACAGCCTGTGTCGACCATAAGCGTCACTGTGGATCAAGTTGGTAGAAAAAAACCGCCCCAGTCCCAATCACGATTCCTAAGGAGCACACAGACGAATGAGCCTCCCTGTGAATCACACAAAGAGCTAGAAGGGACCTAGGGGAACTCTAGCCTCATCCCTGCTGTATAGATGAGACAGGCCCAGGAGAGGGGCAGGGTTGACAGTATGGCACTCAGCCAGTGAGCCCCCCAGTCACCTTATTCCTGGAGAAAGACTTTGATGCTGAGAAATCTGGGGCTTGAGGGCTCCTGCTGCAACTGGGACCATTTCTCCAACAGCAAAATAAAAACAAACAGGTCTGTCTATTGGGTGATCATTTGAAATCACTGCCGAGGGGAACTCAAAACTGCTCCTGATTCTTTCCTCCTGTTATGTTCTTCTGGGAAACCTGACACGTTGTCACTTCTTTTTAAACGGTTGCAGTCAGAACCCAAACGTTTTCTCAGCATTGATTCTTTCCTGCCAGGGGGCTTTCAAGTGTCAGCGTCAGAGTGGCTTCTGATTCCTCTGCATTTTCAGTAGAGGCTATGTAGTAGAACTGCAAACCTTTTTTGAGTCAGTAATTTGCTCTGCAATTACCTTTTAATGTCTTCATAATGTGGTGTTGAGCTTAAACAGCAACACGTACCAAAAGTTAGTTTCAAGAAAGCTTTTTTTTTTTAATTTTTTTTTTCAACGTTTATTTATTTTTGGGACAGAGAGAGACAGAGCATGAACGGGGGAGGGGCAGAGAGAGAGGAAGACACAGAATCGGAAACAGGCTCCAGGCTCTGAGCCATCAGCCCAGAGCCCGACGCGGGGCTCGAACTCACAGACCGCGAGATCGTGACCTGGCTGAAGTCGGACGCTTAACCGACTGCGCCACCCAGGCGCCCCTCAAGAAAGCTTTTAAAAACGGTTTTCCCCAATAAATGTAATCTTCCACACTAGCTCTCAGTTTGCTACAAAGGACGCCCAGAAAACCACACTGCCCGGTGCAGTACAATTGGGAAAAGAAAGTGAAAACCCTTTCGGCCTAACGCGCAGCCTGGGTTCCGTTTGGAGAGGTTACGCACCTCCATCCGCCAGACGCTAGGGAAGAAGGTCGGGATTGGGAGCCCCGCGCGGGGGCGGAAGTGAGGGATAAGGGCCCTACAGATGAATGAGCATCCGTACCTTTCCGGGCCTGCTGGATGTATCTGGCCAGCAGCGCGCCCAGGTGCGCTCGGGGCTCGCCGTCCACCTTCTGCACGGCCCTCAGCTGCCGCCGGAGCGCTTCCTCCTCCTGCTGCGCCCCTGGGCCCGCAGGGTCCGCCGCGGGTACCGGCTGCGCCAGGGCGCCCGCCGCCAGTACAGCCATCAGCACGCACAGGCACACGCCTCCGTTCATGGCTGCGGAGAGCGAAGAGGAGGGGACGTGAACGAAAGGGTGGGGCGTCGCGGCCTCTCGCGGAGGGTCAGGGCCCCTGGGGTATGGAAAAGGGGGCTCAGTCCAAACGCGCGGGGCTCCAGACCCGCCACACTTGCGCAAGCTCTAGGGCACGAGGGCTCGCCAAGCGCCGACGGGAGCTCCGAGCGCGCTCCTTTTGTCTTTTGGGTGAACCACACCCGGTGCCCCGGTATGGGACGGAGACCCTGTCTTCTAACCTGGTGAGCAGAAGGAAAACCTTCTGTTTTCCTTTAGTGCTAGAAAGTGTTCTTAAAGCGTCTGTCTTCTAACTGGAAAAGCAAGAGATTAATTAAAGATGGGAAAATTAGCTGGAGAGAAGACTCCGTGGGAGAAATGAGATCCTTGACAGCTAAAAAGCTTTCAGAAACGGCGAAAAATGAGTAGCGCAGTTTAAAATGTGGGAACAGTAGGGGCGCCTGGGTGGCTCAGTCGGTTGAGCGTCCGACTTCGGCTCAGGTCATGATCTCACGGTTCGTGGGTTCAAGCCCCGCGTCAGGCTCTGTGCTGACCGCTCAGAGCACGGAGCCTGGTTCAGATTCTGTGTCTCCCTCTCTCTCTGACCCTCCCCCGTTCATGCTGTCTCTCCCTGTCTCAAAAATAAATAAACGTTAAAAAAAAATAAAAAAAATGTGGGAACAATAAATAAAAGCCATATTTATAAAGTTTAAGATGTAGATGGGAATTGGCAGTAAACTACCACGCAAACCACAAGAATGGCTTTTCAAAATCAGAAATATGCGCTCCGTCTTCAGTCGTTGGCAAAACTCCGCTGCATCTTAGATCCACGAGCAGGTAACACTCGCACGTTTCGATCCCCAAAGCCCTGAATTTTTCTGCAACGCTTAGAAAATGAGTTTAAATCTTAAAACCTCTTGGTAGTTTATTTGAAGAGATCGCAAAGTACCTGGCACTTCTGTGCAACATCTAGCAAACCCCACTTTGCATGCTAATCCCAGCAAATAGATATTCCGGCACTGCCTGCTGCTGAGGACAAAGCAGGCGCTTGGAAGTCTCTCCATCAAGCTCTACCCACCCAGACCTCCTTGTTGTCTCTGACCTCGAGAAATGTCTTTCGAGCTGTCGGAAAGAAGACACAGGAAGCAGAAAAATGGAAGGGGTGCAGAACTGAAGACAGTATTCTTCAGCCAACTGAACACTTGGATCCCCCGCGGGAGAGTGCGGAACCTACCTTCAGAGTAGGACGCAGCTGGCTTCGCGTTTCCACCGGAGCGGCGGGGAGCCCAGCCAAGTTCAGGGTGGGCCGGCAGGAGGCTGCTGCTTAAATAGCCCCTCCCGGCGCTGTTAGCCAGTCATCTATTTACCCAGCCTTGACGCAGACGGGCAGCAACACGTGCTCCGGGGCGGCCACTGGGGCGACGACTGATTGAAGTGGCTCCTGGGAGAGAGGGGGCGATGGCTCTGTGGAGTTGGTGTCGGGTGTCCCGCCCCCCTCTCTGTCGGGGGG